TTTAAAACCTCGTCGTCACACTGTTTTTGTATATATCTGTACAGGCTACATGGATTTTGTAAATTGGATTGAATCGAGGAGGGAGTTTGAAGTGTTGTATAGTTGTATGATTGATCTGGAAACTTTTGATTTATTTTTAGCAGAGAGAAAGTTGTAAAGGAGCGGATGTTGAAAGTTGTAGGAACACATGAATGAAAACGCCACGACAAGAATAGAAAAGTGACAACACAAATACAAAAGTCACAAATAGTTGTGCAGACGTTTCCCTGCACACACTGTGGACCTTATGATGCCGTGTCGCATTTTCAGTATTTTGTTGCACAAATAAATGCTTGGCGACATAATACATACAAGAAACACACAACTATATACACACATACATTGTCTACAGTGACTGTACCCATAATCCCACTGAAAGAACTAATGTAACTGACTCCCAGTACAATCAGTCTGACCATGTCCCTGTCCTTCCCACCAATTAAACTGAGAGCTCGGGGCTGTTTGGACGGGACCAGTCAATTAATTGATGCTTCCACTGTGATGAACCTACTTTCATACTGTCGTCTCATCATGTCCATTAACTATTTTAATCCTGAATCAACTCTGCCAAACTAAAACAGAGTTCAAACCTGTTTATTGTAAAGAGCCGACCAATCAATGAGCAGAAATTAAGCTTTTACAAAACTTAACCTGGTAATTCTGCCTGGTCTTAAACCGGGTTTATCTGCAGTGAAGATTTTAGAGGCTTTATTACTATTCACGCGTGCGGCTTATATAAATATAGATAATTAATAATCAAAAAGACATTAATAAGTATTAAACAAGGCTCAGATGTAATTGTGTTTTTGTTGAAAAAACCCATAAATCGCGCATATATATATATATATGTTTTGTAAATGTTTGTGTGCAAAAGAAAAACAGACATGCACATTTTAAGAATTTTAATTAACCTTCGGTCTAAAAAAGACCTTGTATTCTGGTAACCTCGCCCTCACCCCATGTTCCCTAAACGTCTGTAGAAATACTTGTCTCACATCAGTCACTGGACACCAGTTCCCTCCGATGGGTCCAAACTACGCGTCAAACAGTCTGACACCTTGCGCACTAATGAAGATTCACAAATGGAACTGACACAGCTGCTGATTGTGTCAAAGTCGACATTCACGCTTCGTCATTCATAGTCAAACTTTGTTTATCCCACACACAGACGTCCTCTGCAGCCTGACCTGCAATATTCCACTTTTTTAGGTCGACATTTTACCCTCTGTTTAATCGCTGCTGCTCCCACCTGTGGAATACAAAACAAAAGCCTCAAAAAACCTGCGTTACTCCCCCTGACTCTGCTGATCAGTCCTCAATCATGTGATGACGGGTCACTTGTGAGTGCAGGTGACCCTCCCATGCCTGTACGATAACTCCCAACAGTAGTTTTAGTCGTTTTTGCTGTTGCAGCATCTCTCTTCGTAGCGATGCTTTGACCCCAGGGCAACAAGCCAGTAGGAGGACAAAGACATAAGTTAGGTTAAGTTTGGTTAAGTTAAACCTAAAGTGCAAAGTGTAACATATATATATATATATATGCACATGTTCACTACCGTGCTTGGAGAGTCTCATTTTTCTGCTCTCCAAACAGCTCTCCAACAAACAGGTGTAGAACAAACCACTCCCGCTTCTCTCTCAGCGCCCTCCTCCCTCTTCTCCACCCCGTCTCCCCCTGCCCATGCAAATGTCAGCCTTCACATCCTCTGCTGTCAAAGACGCCGCCGCCGCAGCAGGATCCGTCCGAATCTGACTGCTCCTCTCACATCACGCAACTTCACACACAAAAAAAAAAGCAAACGGAGGTGAAAAGAGAAACATTTTCTTTGCCTGAAACACAGAACGCTTCGCTTGGACAAACAGATTCCAAAACATGCGTGTTACGTTAGTTTTCTCACGCCCTGCTCTCCATAAATGATCATTTACAAAATTAACATGAAGCTGTGTTGAAGAAGACTTGAAACTAAAGATTAAGACTATAAACACTGTATGAAAATGACTCCTGATGTAGAAGTGGGGTCACTTTCTCATCGACTTCTATAGAGACTGACTTCCTCTTACAACCAGTGGAATTCGCCCCTGCTGGTCATTCAAGGGAATGCAGATTTCAGATAATTACGCATTGGCTACACTTTCCAGACCCAGGGTCTACGTCCAATTATATATATATATAAATATATATCCCTAAATTTCAGACCATTCCTTTTAAGGAAGAAACGTATAATATCCAATCATCGATGCTACGCTGCCCATGACTCACTTCCACTGCAAAGGTTTTATTTCATTTTTATCTTCATTCTCATTTTTTGCCAACAGAAGGTTTTCTGAGCACGTGTGATCAAAAAATCATGCGTGACTGCTTCCTGCGGGGTGGCGGGCTCCTGTCAGTGGGGTGTGGAATACAGAGGAGATCTTTAGCCCTCGTGGCGCAGCGGCCCTTTGGAGCTCACTGTAGTTAATTAGTGGCACGGCCCCGGGACTTTTATCTACTCTGTGTATGGGAGGGGGAGAGAGAAAGAGAGAGAGAGAGAGAAAAAGAAAAAGAGAGAGAGAGAGAGAGAGAGAGAGAGAGAGAGCGAGCGATGGTACTGATGCTGCACTGTGACCCATGTGTGTGTGTGTGTGTGTGTGTGTGTGTGTGTGTGTGTGTGAAGTGAATTTGTAATTGCAAGAGTCTACTGATCAAATATCTGTGTGTTGAACCAAGTAAATGTGTGTGTGTGTGCGTGAGCATGTATGAGAACTACCGACCGCTCATCAGGGTCTTTGATAGAGATAGGGGCCGGATGAGTGAGGCTTGAAAGACTTGGGGGTGGGGGTGGTGATCAGATGGACGTAGCAGATATAAGGAAGAGGAGGAGATGGTGAAGAGGTCACTTTAACTACATGCTTCAAAACAAGAGCTCTCTAATTACCAGCTATGCTCTACTGATGCTGCCGTGTGTGAACCGATGAGTCGGTTCACATGCAGATTCCTGCCAGAGCACAGCTTTGGAGGACGACTCTTTTTGTGTTTTCAGAACCAGAAGAACATGTTTGTCTCTCTTAAACCTAGCGCCCACACTACCCACAATGCAGTAATTGCACAAATTATGCCTTAAGCAGCTACTAGAGCTCAACAGTGTGGTTACAGAAGTAAATTCCATTTAGAAAATTCCATTCCAATAGAGATTTTGATTATCAGCCATAATATTTTAACCATCTAATGTAGACTCACTACAAGCTATGAGACTATTTCACTATTCTGTGTGTGTTCTCCTGTAGAAGCCACATGTCTGGATATGAACTGTGTGAAAAAACAAGTTTTATTCACCATGTCGTGGGGAAGTACTACACTACCCACAATCCTAAAGGGCTGGAGCAATGTTTGTGATCTCGCATGTTCACCACAGAGCAACCATGAATTCTCTCTCTGTGGTTTTGTAAAGATGAGGAAGTTCAAATCAATAACAAGAATTCAGGAAGTCGTTGAAAAGGGATCATTGGCATTGGTGGTTCTTTTACTCTTAGTATAATTATATATTCAGTTTATAGTTATATGGAATCTTTTTATTTTCCATTATTTTTTAGCCTTAAATCAAATTTATTATGGTTATGATTCAGCTGCTCGGACTTGTTCAAGGATTTAAACTCTTTTTATAAGGACTTTCTGAAATGTCAATGGAGAAAATGGAAAGAAATGTTCTTTACTTTAAGTCGCCTTCATCTTTATATGCAGTCTATGGGGCTCCCCTTGTAAACACACATGTAGCTCATAGTAAAATAGAATGATGCTGCAGACCTTTAAAATATTACTGATCTTTCTTCCCCACCCAGATTTTTGTAAAGTCCTCATGAACAGATGCATTGTGGGTACAGCTCGACATGTGCAACACATAGTATGATTGGTTTTGTTTAATTCTGAGTCACATCATAACTGAACATCTCACCAGCTAACAACATTCTGCAGGTCTGTCGTGCTGAAGAGCACAGGTGTAAAAAACAAGGTGACAAAAAATGCAACACAATGGCAGTGAGTTAGGAAAACAGCTGTGTGTCGGTGTGTGTGTGTGTGTGTGTGTGTGTGTGTGTGTGTGTGTGTGTGTGTCTGTGTCTGTGTGTGTGTCTGTGTGTGGGTGTGTGGGTGTCAGCCACAAGTTTCTTTCACTTTTAGAATGACTGTTAATCATTAGTTTGTCTGAGAAGGAAAATATCAGTCTCACATAAAACCCTTCAAATAATGATACTGCTGTTAAAAAACACCAGATGCCAGCAAATGTTCTAAAATGGAAAACAGTAAAGTAAGTGATTTTTGTGAGTCAAACTAAAAATTGAAGAGATCCACACTTGTTGATATCCAGGCTTTTATCTGGTGTGGAGTCAGCGGATTTCTTAACAATGGCTCCCTCTTGTGGCATCTTTATGCATCACCAGAATTATTCAAATTGGTGGAGTAGGTTATTTATAATCCTGGTGCAGATGCATTTTTCCATATTGTGAATAACAGATGTATATAATTATTCCTCGTCATTGTGTTGTTTGTGTGCTGGACGCTGTGTGTAGAGCTTTTTATAAAGAGTCTATGGTGCAGAGTGACTTTAGAAAACATTGTGTTCATCCTACCTGGTTTATCTGCAATGAAGATTTTATAGTCAATGTTTTCATATATTGAAACAGTTTTGTTTATTATTGTTTATGTGTGATTTTTATATATACGGTTGAATGATTTATTTATCGGCTGTTGCCAAGTTGAATCCAGTTAAATGAATGTGTTGTGTGATATAATTTCCACAATCTTACAAAGCGATTAATCATTAATCAAGTCATTCATGATCACAATGATACATTAATAAAGCAGTCGTAGGTGCAATTGTATGTTTTTAGATTTTTATTGTGGAAAATGTTACTAAACTGAAATTGCACATATACTTATTTTGTAAATGTTCTTCTGTTGTAAAAATCCCAAAAAACCCAGACACATCTCAGACTTTTTATAGTATGTTTATTTTTTTAAACTTTTTTTCTTTAAAAAATGACGAGGTTCAATTATTTTGGAAACCTCACCCTTACCCCATGTTCCCCAGCCGGCCAACTCGATTCTAAAGCAACCAGCAAAGAAAAATAGTCATATGGACAATTGATAATATACACCCCATATACAGCAATACATAGTGGTCTACCATAATGTTACCAATAATACGCAACCTCCAATGAGGCTTCAATTCAAACTGTTGCCACTGATATGGTTCATCTCAACAGCAACTGTCAACCAATGATGGTTGGTTGTTAGTTTTTGATAGTGTGGGCGGGGTTCAGGTTGCCACGGTGAAGTGGCAACCACCTGCTGCCTTTTCTTCTCGCCACCATCAGCGGCTCAGCTGATCGATGTAACACATCATCTTCCCTCAGCCTCGCCGCACAGTGCTAAGATTTGGCCGCCGACCCAAACGCCCCCTTTGAACCAATCAGATTCAGCATAAGTGCAAAGTTTAGGAGGCACTGACACACACTCTGCGGCGCCCGAGTAAACGCCGCAGACAGTCGTTCAACAGCTCTCGTCTGTCAAACCATTTCCAAGAGTTGAATTGACTTTATTACAGTGACTAGAGTTTTCTACTGGTTCCCTTTAAAGGAGGTGACTGTAAAGGTTTGCTAAAGCTACATTAACAGCGTATTCCTCACCAGGACAGCAGTTCGTTCATGTATCTCCAGTGGAAACCAATTCTACTGTTTTGTGTCTATTTCCGTCACTACTTTCCTCTGCTGACATTAGACTGCTAGCCCGGCTGGCCCATCTCATGCTGCGTCTAGTCTGAACCGAAGACGACGACCTTCCTCGGGGCACAAACACAAAGATGAAGTTCTTGGCTAGAGTGGTGAGTAAACAGCTGTTAATGATAATGTTAGCTATGTAGCGATAGCAAAACTTGTACATGGCCCATTTAACTTGGTTGTAATGCAGGTCAGGACACATGACTTGGGATATTACAGTCTGCTGTATGAATCCCATTCAAATTCAAAAAGTCCACTTCAGTCCCATCACGTTCAAGTCAGCTAAATGAATTTCATTTATGTTTCTTTTCAGCCTGCATAGAGTAACAGCCAGTGAGAGGGATGTGTGTAAATGTGTGTAAATGTGAGTGCATGTGCCAGTGACCCCTGCAGTGGTAGAGACAGCATAGAGAACGTTCTGTATGTGCATGAAATGAAGACGGAGCCTGTACGCAGTGTGAGCAAGTGTGAGTCCATCTCTGTGTGGAGCTACAAACACGACTCCCAGTGCAGCTGCAGGTCCGTGCTGTCCAGAAAATCAGCCGAGAAGACGCTCGGCGGAGTGTGCGGCGCCAGCGGGGCCAGACTCGTTCCCCCATCTCCTTCGCCAGCTCCGCCTCCTCCTCCACTGCCCCCTCTGCCGCCCCCACTCCCTCCACTGGAGCTCCCCACCATGGAGATGTCCAGCCAGTCCATGCTGTCCAAGGTGGGGTCGCCAAAGTCCAACCCCGTGGAGTGGGGAGAGAAGCCCAGGTCTGACGTGTCCATGGGGGTGGGAGGGTGGTCCAGGATGCTGGGCGTGCTCAGCATTTGGCTGTGGAGGTCGTCGATCAGCGTCAGGGCGCCGTCGGGCTCCACGCCCAGCAGAGGAGCACCTGTGGTGCTCTCCAGGAAGTCCTCCAGGCGTCCGCCGCCCGTGCAAGGCTGAGGGGAGATGAGGGGCTCCGTTGGCGTGGGAGGGGAGAGGTGGAGGGGAGATGGGGGAGAGGACGGAGAGGGTGGGTTGGAGTGAAGAGGGGCAAGGGAAGGATCTGGGTTGGACTTGAAGCCAGGGATTTCTGAAAGAACAAACAGAAAATCTCATCAGTGCTGGAGACAACAGACTCATGACGTCTTTCTGTCTGTGTTTAAGACTGTGTATTACCTCCACTCTTCAGCAGGATGTCAAACAGGTCGTCCATCTGCTGACTGTTCACGCCGTTCTCCTGCTAACAGAGGAACACATTACTCCTCAGCCACCAAGTACAGAACAGACACACTAAAACAAGCTCCATCTCCTGAAACCCAGAAATAAACTCGGCATTTCGGGGGCCAATTTTTTCTTTTGATGTTTCATTTGATGTTTCATTTGCACACAGGGACCTGTGAGCATTCAGTTGTGATGGTTAAGGAGTTTGCCTTTCTCACAGGAACAACACAGCAGAAGTTTCTATGCTCAGACACGTCCACAGAGTCTCCAGAGTGTTCAGAGGAGGGGCGGCACAGCAGACAGAGGGCGGACGTATAGATTCTGCGAGCCATATTGCTGAGATTTTAGCTAGCAAAGAGATTTCTTGGGAAAGTAAAATGCAGTTTTAACTGGGCATAACAAATATACTTAACAGACGAGGTATTGAGGTGGTATATTGATTTGTATTCTTGACAATTCCTGACCCGACAATTTCCAAAGCACCAGAAGCAGAAGCTGGTTTCTGTATCTGAACATCTCTGCATCATATCAAGCTGATGAAAGTACAAGAGGCTGGAATTTTTGTTTTAAGGCACAAACAGCAAAATTCAGACACAAAACTCAGTGTGAAGAAAAAGGAGGTAAAATGGAGGGACAGACAGAAACAGAGAAGATCACTAAAGAAGTGAGAGAAAGAGCAGTCGTGCTGGAAGACATACTTTGGAGCGTTGAAGAGGAAGAGAGGTGTTGGGTTTGGGAGAGGGAGGGGTGAACAGTGTGTGCCGGTCGTAAGGCGGACACAACTCCTCTCTCTGTCAGGATGGAGTGATGAAATGAAAAAGGAGAGAAACAAGGAGAAAAAGTCAATGAAGCTGTACACAGAGCCGTGACTACGTGACGATGGGGAGCACGGGGAGCGGAGCAGAGGTCGACGCTACCTTGAGAGACGAGATTAGGTTGCTTTGGCTTTCGCTCTCTGACATGTCGTCGAAGAAAGGCTGCAGGTTGGGAGGAGCAGTGACTGACAGGCTGGGTTGTGGAACGCCATTGGTGTCCAGGTGAAGCCCGGCCTTCTGTCCCTGGAGAAACAAAACACAGCAAAGACATATTTAGACTTGGACACAGACATGAATATGCTGCATAATAAATTATGATTAATTCATTGTGATTATCTAGATAACATATTAAAATATTATTTCCACATTTCACCAGTCTACATTTGGTTTGGTTGAACTGTGACAGCAGTGACACTCAGTGGCAGGGAAATCTTACTGCAAACAATCGTCCTGCAGTTCAGTGTGCTACATCACAATAAATTGATTAACAAACAGGATAAAAGCAAAGAATAGTTTTGTAAATATGAGCCGACAAATGTATTTTTTGGAGCCGAATATAAATATAAATGTAGTGTCTGAAGATCAGGCAGGTTATTCAAAACTAATCTAAAA